GTCTCTTCCTCTGGTTTCCTTTCTCTCTATCTTGCCATTGTTGTTGGTGTTTTCTAAATGTAAGGCACGGCTTTATCATAAAGAAATATTTGTTTTCTCTTTTGCATTTGTCGAACGTTAGACACTGTTGAGATGAATCGAGTGGAGAGTCTTCTGCAGTGTTCTCACATCGGTTCATATGGACATTCTATTCCATTCTAGAGTTTTTACTCTGGGCTGGCAGGAGAAACTCTGGACAAAGTCTGGAGCCTCTCACTGGGACATTTGTGTTGTCACATTCAGCCCCTCCTTCAGTCTGTCTGAAATAAGCTAAATAGTCCAACATGTCACATAAACACAGAGGATTATGAGTCTATGATCTTTCTCCTCATGGTAATTTTGACGATGACAAACTATATTAGTTGGGATAATTAACTAGGTAACATTATAATGTACGCAACAGACAGAGTCTGCAGACACACAACACATCAGTACGCACTGAGAGCTTCAGTTTTAATTAAAGACAAGGTATTACGAGTTCAACGAAAATATCATGACATTAACGTCCATTCTAAAGTGTGCACATCAAGCATAGAATTTGAAATGTTTTATTTTTCTGCATGTACTGCAATGTGACCATCTCATATCTGGTTTCCCTCAGGATCAAAGGACCAAGCTTCAGGTTAGTGGACCTGCTCTACCTTCAGAGCCACAACCACTTTAGTCCTCCTAGTGCCTGATTTTTAGGGCACCTACCTTTCAAATGTACTAAATATAGACGCAGTCACAACCACCGCAATTWTTTTCAGGCTTTGTAAATCACATTGCATGTTCTAAATGAAAGTATTTACATCTACTCCTCCCAATATTTTGCGCACTCTGGTAGAAACACCCAATATTGCATATTCATGAAAGCAAATGTACTAAATGAACAGCATGTGTTATTCTGCATGCAATCCTCAATTCCCACCGTTTGTAGACCAGCTTGCATGTTTTTTTGCAGGTGAAATCAAGTTTGCACACTTTTTTACACGTGCAAGCCTTTAGGAGATCAGGCCCCTAGAGGCTACAAAATCTGCAGAGTGCATTCACTGACTTCCTCCATATTGTCACTGATGCAATAAAAACCTACATCACATGCTGTGTCCGACTGCTGCTAGGAGACTCTTGCTTGTTTTTACATTGGACTAATTCTAACAGTAACACTACGGCAGGTATAAGTGGTGAAATGATTGTTCTATTTCTAGTAAGGCCAAGCTGTATTTTTTGTAAATATATTGTACAAGCTTGTATAATTAGCTCAAGATGAATAATAGCCCTGAGATTGCAAAGAAACATTCAAGTAAGCCTTGAACACCACTCACTGTGGTCCTAAACTGTTTAAGAACACTATTCCATAAACTGTCTCCCTTCCTCTTTGTCATCCTGTCACTGTTTTCTGTTTTCGGTTCTCCTCAGCTCAGCGAGAGTGAATCACGGCTGCTATATTTATGACACTGTCAGTCTTCCGACTCTGCTGTCTCTGGACTGTGTAATTTAACATGACAAAAGTGCAGAAAAATGCCACACAGGATAAATGCTCCCAGAGAGAGGATTGACAGTGATCTGTGGTCAGGGGCTGACAGACAATTACAATTATTTATATGAAAGTGTTGTATAATTATTGCAATTCCAATTAACTGAGTATTAAAGGCAGTGGCAACAAGTATGATTTTTTTATGATGAAAATCCTCAATGTGCCTGAGATTCAACTAACTCCACCTAGATTACAATGTTAACAGATTAGCGGTGTAAATAAACATGAGGCATGTTAAAAGTTAATTTCCACTTTCCATTTTATTTTACATAAAAACTTAATCCAGGCTTGTTTGTCTTTCTCTTGTTTTTCATTATTTCTTATATATCTATAGATATATCTATATATATCTATAGATATATATAGATATATATACACAGTTTCATTTTAGAGTTGTCCACTGCCTTAACAAGTTTGAATTGCTCCCCCTGCTTGGATAAATGGGTCAGTCCAGCAGCCACGCAGAGCATAGTGGAGGTTTGAACTGATACAGCAGCAGTGGAATGGTCTACTCCACAGCAGGGACATTATGTCAAACTCTCTGATGTTCCCTGCATGTTCACGTCAAGATGTCCTCAAGTGGTAGAACAAAACCTAATGAAGTATGAGCAGAAAGACAATTAAATGCATTGTATGGCTGATGCATACCCTGTAGGTATATTGTAATAATTATATTTCATAATGATGTCTGATGACATTTTTACATATGATTGGATAATCGAAACAAATTAACTCTAAAATGTTACTGATTGCAAAAGTTGATGCATTACAACTCCATATGATATAAGTTTCTGACTTCAGTGTGACATCATTTCTACCATATGATCAAAAAAAAAGTGTTTTAACTTGAAAGGCTTTTGGCCATCAGTGCTATAGAATACAGCGATACCTCAAAAATGTATTTTTCAATTATGCATGTTGTCTTTTTTTTCATCATATTATGTAAAATGGTGGAGAATAATCATCTTATCGATTTCAAGCTTTAGCTTGTTTAAATATTATTTATGGGGATGTCTTGGACAATGCGTGTATTTTTGATGACCATGACCTTATCAGCTCCATTATTCCTCTCTGTTACAATACAATTACTTCAATGATATCTTTGAATGGGATCATTTATTCATTAATCATCTTAGTTAAAGGACATTAAAGTCTCCTAACCTGTTTTATATTTGTCACTCAGAGTTCGGCTTCTCCAGTGTCAAGGCTCTGTCTGATCTAAAATAAAATAATCTAAGAGAAGAAAGCCTAAACATAATGCATCTTGATCCTGATTGAACTATTAACCTGCCTATAAGAGAACATTTCTTTATGTCACCCTGCATCACCTCTGCCTTGTTTCCATATCCGTGGTAGGAGGAGGAGGAGGAGGTGATTGGGTGCAGTGTGGGTAGATATCCAACAGTGATGCCTGATCAGGGAGACACAGTTAGAGCCTAGAACCCATGCAATTGTAATAGCAGCTTTACTTAATTTTTCAATGAGTAGATGTTGTTTTGTCTGTCATTTAAATGTAGGCTTACATATCTGTATATTTCTATCTACTCGTCTTATGCTCTTTCCTCTGCTTCGCAAGCTCCGGACTGTGCCAATGAAAAGCCACACCCACAACATGCGAGAGAATTGAGAGAAACAATAGATGATGGTCGAGCTAGCTCCTAGAGATAATAAATGACTGCAGCCACAAGTGGACAGTAAATTGCAGAATTCATTCAAACAGAGAACAAAAGATCCTTCACAGGACTGAACACTGTTCAGGGATCATATGTAAGAGATATCACTTCCACCTCAGTGGTCTGATTTGAGTTTTAACTGGTCAAACACAGCTTGCCTTGCTTGACCTGACAGCAGTCACTGAGTTACCAAACAACAAAAATTGGATGAAACTAAATGAGTGTTTACTAATAAGTGAACAGCCACAGTCTCCATAGGCAGCACATAAGCTGTGATGTTGTTAATTTAGCATTTACTATTCCACAGGACACTGTAGATTTTCTGTCCTCTAATGGTCACACACAATGTTTGATGCAGTATTAATGAGACTTATTCTGCCTCCAAAAAAGTTTTCCTTGTTTTCAGCACATGGGCAAAAAAAAAATCATTTAATTATTGGTATTGATCTGAAACACAAATAAACTCCAATTATACCCATTTTGTGCTTTGGCACAAAAACCACCCGATTCTCATTAATAATGTAAAATATAGACTGAATCCCATTCCTCATTAATGATGGCTATCTCGTGTTGGAATAAAGCCTGTGACACACACACACAGGCAGGCACACACATACACACACACACACACACACACACACAAACAGGTCAATGATATTCTGCCAGTAACTCTTTCATTGCCCTGCAGTGTGTGCTCAGTTTGTACCGTTTTGTCCTGACTTTGGTAAAACTGTGTTGGCATCACAGATCAAAGGCAGAAGTGTGTGTGTTTGTGTGTGTGTGTGTGTGTGTGTGTGTGTCCTACGGCCGTCTGAGGCTCCACACTAACACAGATGTTTTAAATCCTCTGACTACAAAGGTATGTCACACACACAGCCGAAACAGTCATAGACATCATTCATTCACGTTGATGGAGGCACAGAATAATCGACACAGACAGTGTGGGTACATACTGTCTTACCCATGTTGTTTAATATGTCATCATGAAACATATTTATGTGTTGGCTGGTTAATGTTGCTTGCCTGAGGCCATTGGCTTAGATTCAGTTCCCTGATTTGCTACTTCAGACTGATCCTTTCCAAGTGGTGGATATGGTAAATCAACATTTGCATTCCTGTATAGGACCAGGAAGTTTGAATATCAGGTCTGAACCTTATATATGTTGAACATTTGAGTTTTGAAGGCTGTCAAGCCTCAGGCACTGTTTGGGCCACAAGAGTGCAGGACTGGTGTTGAGTACATGTTAAACAATTTCTTTTTTAAAATGTTAAGTTAATATAATCTGATATGAAGTAGTTAGGGTTTTTTGTATTTGTCTATATGTATTGTGTATTCTTCTACACATTGGTGGTCAGTTGGCTTGTTCATTAGCTGTGGTGTTTGTGAGAGTAGAGTAAGAGTAAGTGTACAGGTTTGTTGGACAAATCAACCTCAGCAGCAAGTCTATGTTGAGGGCAAGTCATTCACCGACTGTGCAGTTAAATTACTTTGTTACATAGTTCATGAGAGAATGTATAATACTGGTGATACTACTAAATTTATATTGCTTGGTAACATTTAATGGATGAAGTGGTGCGATATTGAAATGGCTTCTGTTTATATAAAGCCAGACAAAAGACATGTGTCAGGTAATCATCTTCTGACTCATGATAGTACGTGAAAGGGTTTGTATCAGAGAGAAGTTGCATTTTTTTTTTCTTATAATTTTCTATACAAAAAAAGCTGAGTAAACATGAGAAGATGAGAGCTTTTGTCACTGTGGAGTCAAAGTGCACAACAGTGGATGCTTGTTCATTTATTGCCTGCACTGTACTGGGGAGGTCAGACTCGCACAAGACAGAGGTGAGGTATCAATAGGAAATGTTGCCAATGGCTATCAACAATTAAGACTTTCAATACATGTCACATTCATGTGACAGGATGCTTTATTCCACTTGTGCTGCAAAATACCCTTGACCCCTGATGAGAGGAAGAGTTGCTGCAGCACATTATTTTCATGAGAAGCGTTCAATCAGAGAAGTCATTGACCTTTGGAGAGGAAACCAAACAACTTGGATAACAAAGAGGTTCCCTTGGCAACCAACAAAACACAAAGCATCCCTGCACTCTTTGTGATTAGTAATTGAACAGAAAGTGGGGGTAAAAGAAATGAGTTAAAATGGAATTAGATTGAACAAAAAAACGGACTGGAACAGCTTTTTGTTCAGACAATCCTCCTGATTGGTTTGCTGCATGCCGTATTTAAAAATATCAACAGAATATAACCTGAAGGTCACAGAGGACTGGTCTATTTGTCTCTATGATGCATTTAAATGCTCAGAAATGCTTTGTTTTCATGTACTTCAGCTCACGACTCACCCTCTTACCAGTTGCCACTAAAATAGCTGCTCACAGATCTTCTTTTCAGAATAAGGGGGTCTGGATGTGCTGTCTTCTGTATTTACTTGAAAAATGGTAATCAGGTATGGTAGCACATCACAGTCGCCATGGAAATAAGGTCTATATTCATATTCCAACCACCAGAGAGATAAGACGTGTCTGACAGACTGTAAGGTAGGCAACACCCAAAAGCAACACTTCTGTCATATCTTCCTCTTATTCTATTTTTTTTTTTATCCTCACCTAGCAATAGCATTTGGCTCCTAGCTATATTTCCCCTGCAGCACCTGCTAACATTAGAGTCTTGGGATTAGCAGAGGTGCTAGACAGGAGCCAAAAACAAATCCTCTCACACACCTAGTTGTCTCTTCTTCTCCTATCATCATTAAACATTTCCTCCGTGCTCGTCTGGCCGTCAGCATATTGTGCAAGTAAGCTGTGCCATTCATTGTCAAACTGCAGACAGGTAAGAGCCCCTGATAACCGGTGTGAATTTTGGTTGAAAGGTGTTTCTCCAGCTGTGAAAGATCAAACGAGGGACTGATTTGTTTTAGCATTTTCACTTGTCGAGTTGTGGTTGTTGGATGGAGTCCTTTCAGTTTTTTAAAATCTTATTCTCTTCCCACAATCAGGACAGAGCAGGAGAGTAGATTAACACAAGGTGTTCAGATCAGTGGACCAGCTAAATGCTAACCAATGTTTCCCATTTCAGAGATTCCTTTTGTCATCTTCATCATCTTTGAACATCCAACGTTGTACAGTTTTATTTTACTTTTGTAACAACTTCTGTTCGACCCTACATTTCTGAGGTTTTCTCTAGGTACTCCTTCTTCCTCCCGCTGAAGTGCTGAAACATGTATTCTCTCAAATGGCCAGCAGGGGGTGGCTCCACTGTTTGTGAAAGGAAGTCAACATCTATCGAAGGCTGTGAGAAAATGGCTCTACTCCTCACATGATTGATAACATCAGTAAACATTTTCCTATGGAGTATATCATCTCTTTCTCTCATTCTTTTTAGAAACAAATCAACAATACAACTTGCTATGTTGTGATGTATTTGATCACTCAATCCATCAAAATATATTTGTATAGTCTAATTACACATATCATAATGTGCCTCACAGGACTTAACAATCTGTACAAGGTTACACACCATCTGTCCTGGATCCAAGTGAATTTGTCTGCCACATGTCACAACATTCTCTTTGGGCATTCCTCATGTACTGTGTTCAAAATAACATAAAGTTACTTGATAGTGACCTTTTTTACCTTCAACCACCAACATTTAATCACTTCATCTTTGAGTTCTAGTGTGTGTTTGTACCTGGAACCGGGTTGCTGACGTCTGCCTCACCAAGAACCAGGACGCGGTGTGGAACCAGGACCAGGATGCATGGAACCAGGCTTAGGAGGCAGGACCAGGCCGCCTGAATCCAGGGACAGGACCCTCTGCCAGTGTTACATCCGAGGTACCCGACAGAGGAGCTGAGGCCTCCACCGGCTGCTTCACCATTGAGCGGGGACACAGAATCGGGGACACGCCCTCCACCGGCTGTTTCAGCGCTGAGCGGCAACAGGGAATTGGGGACATGCACTCCACCACCTCAGTCTCTTCCTCTGTCTCTCTTTGTGTCTCATGTCTCTCCTGCTTCTTCCTTGTGTGTGTCTCCTTCTCATGTATTCTTCTCTGGCAGCTCTGCTGCTGCCTTTTGAACCAGGGGGATCAATCAGCTAACAGCCCTGCACTGATTATTCATGTGGTCCAGGTGGAGGTGTTCTCTGAGCCTCCTCCATGCCCACAATTCACGTTTTAGAAAAACATAAACATGTTTGCTAGGTGACCATGACCTTTGACCACCAAAATCGAATCAGTTCATCCTTGATTCCAAGTGAATATATCCAACAAATGTAAAGAAATTCCTTTCAGCCATTCTGGAGATATTGCGTTCATGAGAAAGGGATGGAAGGAGCTAGGTACTGACAGACGTACTGATGGATGAACATCTCAAAACATAATACCTCTGGCCACTTGCTGTCTCTGCTGCAGACATAACAATAACTTCCACAGTTATTCTTCCCTCTGCTGCATCCAGCCCAGCTCACAGCTCAGCCTTCTTTGGCTCTGTCTGCAAACCATCATCCCCTCCTCATCCTCAGCCTCTGCCTGCCAGAACGCTGATCTCCTCAATAAATCCTCACTGTATCACTTGTAGCTGCATTTTGCTTCACCTATCCAGATATAATGGATTCTTGGCTACAATCACACGTATTTCCTTTTAAATCAGAACACATTACAGTTTGATTAGGTCATCCATTTCACTTGGTACTGTTACAAAACAAACATTACTTTTCAAGTTTTTACCCAGAAGATTTGTGACTTTAATCTCCAAATTTCTGACTTAACCTGCAAATTTACGAGTTTATAGCTACAGAGAATAACCAAGTTGCCATATGCATAAATTGACTTCCCTCCCTTGGCTCTTTTTTATTTTTAGAGAATAGAGGACAGGGAATCAGAAAAGGGGGGACTGCGAGTGTCGTAGAGTGAGGGTGAGACAATGTGTCTGACACTTAAAATCCAACTTAAAGCATATCCTATTCTTACATATGCAGTTTCATGTGTGCTGAAGAAGAGGTTAAGCAGGGCAGCAAAGCTCTGTGTGAGTTCAACCACTACAGTACAGCGCAGTTAGCAGTTTGTTATTTATCTGTATATGTCTGTTTGTACAGACCTGGTATTCACTTCTATCAAATGATCTGATCACAAGTGGAGAGCTACGTTCCGGTGTAACACACCCGAGAAACTTTGAGGATACACAGGAGTTCCAATCACTCAGACCACATCTATTTGCAGTGTAATTAAAGGGAGCTTTATTCAACATCATTAGTATTATTATCATTGTCATTATCATTAAGTGTATTGCATCCGTTAAATTATTGATAGAATTGATATTGTAGTCACTACAGCATGTTTTTACACTTTGTACGGTTACTTGAGTTGGTCAAGGTGAAAGATTAAAGTTCAGTGGTTTGGTTTAATACACAAAAAGTTCACAGAAATTCTTCAAACAACAATCTTTCACTCACTTGATCTTAACCAAAGCGTTACCATCTCTGTTGTGAATGTCAAGCGATGTTAATGAAAAGTATTTACTTTAACCACAACCTTCCTACTTTGCTGACATCGTTGAATGTAGCGCCCTCATGTATCAAAAAAAAGTTTCCATTTGAAATGGTTTGAGAGTTTAAGAACAGTGAATGCAATATATTCTAATGTTAACCTGCTGTTGGCTTGAAAAAATAAAAAGCTAAATTACAGTAAAAGCCCCATGAAGCTGCTGAGTTAGCTAACAACATCAGAAATACTGCTGTGGTTCAAGAGTGACATCCTGTTTCCGTTCCTAAAGTATTGTCTTTGCAGGACCGGAAGATGTACAACTTCATACTTTATAATTTCCTGTCATTTATTCTTTTATTCGAGGATATACAGTAGTCATACCAGAAAGCTCACACTGCAGCAGTGTTGGAACATGCAGCCGAAATGCTGCCTGTGAAAACAGCAGACGTCAGTGACAAACAGCAGAGGACGACTGAGACAGTAGAGAGAATCGTCGAACCAGAAGGTTGTTGTTTTGATTCCAGCAGCTCTAGTCTCCATTTCAAAGTGTTGCTCCCCTGATGGCTGTTCTTACTGTGTATGTACAGTGAATGGTGTGTGTAGAAGCGCTATATGAATGTTAGTATGAACGGGTTGATGTGGACTGTACTGTGTTGATAAGACCAGTAAAGCACATAGAATTATAGTCTAATATCATATTTAACAAGCCAGCAGAAAGGGTCACTTTTGCAAGCTCAGTTTAACACCTGGACACTCCTCCTGCTCTTCTTTAGTTTGTTTGCTGCTCAAAGCAGTGAAAGACATTCAACTAGTTAATAAGTATCAGTTGTAAATTCATCACATAGGATTACTGATATTTGTAATTTTATTTCGCACTCAAAAAAAGAAAACGCGACAGTTGAGAAAGTGTAATGCTGCTGTTATCATTTGTTTCATGTCTGGTTTTCCGACCTCTCCGATACTGCTGACTGCCAACCCAGATTTAAACAGACAACGATCCACCAAGAGGGAAGATGGGTCATTAAGCTGTGACTGCTCAGACAGGAGGACGAACCCTGGTCCAGGAAGCAGAACAGCGAGGCCTGAGCCCTAACCACCCACTCTCCACATGATGGCTACTGGCTGTGACATAGTCAATCTGTTCACCTCGGGCCACAGGATCCGGGGGATGGACATGGAAATAGAAATTATACCTGCACCAGGCTAATTAATGCCACAGATCTGTGCACAAGTGCAACTATTGTGTCAATGTGGTAAAGTCTCAATGCCAATCTAAATAATTCATTCTACTGTGGTTCTGTTTTTATTACTTGCAAATGTGTCTACTTCCAGGAGGGTAGTGGTGTTTACATGTACTATGTCATAACATTTTCTCAGCTGTGTGAATCAAAAAGAAGTCAGATCACACACACATTCATTTCACTCTATTCATAATAAACTCAGTATGCTAGCGAGCAGAGCTCGTAGATATTCATAGGCCCACTATCAACTTCACTGTTTCTTGTGATGCACATGAAACATATAGCTCTACATTTCTGTACCCCATGCATGTAGCATGACAACTGGTCATAATAAGTAGCTAAGACTGGGATAGCATTTCATAGCACATGATATTCTAAAAGCACTGTTTAATTAAAAAAAAATTTGCATCAAGTGAGACACTAAAAATAGTAGGACTTCACATTCACAACTTAAGTGTTTTGGTTCTGTGTACTGGCTCTTGTCAACCTGGAGGTAAGCCTGAAACAAATGTAACTGTGTCTGACCAAGTTCCAAAACGCAACTGAACTCTCTCTAGGCTAATTTATGTTGTAGTTGAATTCATACATAATAATTAACAATCAGTTCAGGAGCTGGACTATAAAGTGCAGGGTTGTTGAGGGGTTTTCAAGTTTGGAATTGTTTGAAGTGAATAATCATTGCTGTCATAAATGCAGCACAGTCTTCTGTTATTTATGCTCTCCTGAGTGGGCCTTAATGGAATTGGCAAAGTCTGCTGCCATTATGGCTCATGATTTAGTGAAGTATTGTGTGTGAGTTTTATGGTTTTAATTCTGCCTCCGTATAACTATCTCTCCTCGAGTTATCACCACAGCTATTACTGCACTTTAACTTGTTAGTTTTCAAGTTTAAGTGATAAATGTTTTCTTTACTTTCCTTGTATTTATCTACATTGGCCTCAGTATTGACATCCTCATCACTCTACCACCACCACCACCACTGTTTGGTGTTTTTCCTCTTTTCTACTTTGTGTTATAATAACACTTCATCTCATTTTATTCCACATAAATGTACTTAATTCCTCCTTCCACAGCTGGAGCTGAGCAGGGCTAAATATTTAGTAATCAAGATCACAATGTTATTTCTTCTCTGAGTTGAGTAATCTTGTAGAAATCCCACTGTGAGCTGTGAGAGCTCTGAGCTCCACTTCACTTTGTTCCTTGGGTGAGAGACTCTGAGTCCGGAACTGCCTGATAAAATAAAGGCTAGATAACAATCTTATGTACACTTCACCTGAATGAAAACAACATCTCCTGACTTCATGTATCTGGAAATGGAGGCAGAGGATATCACGGCACAAGCTAAAGGCATATTCACACATGAGCAAATGCATTTCTATATCGAGTACAGGGCCGCGTCTGAGGGCACGGGCTGTCATGTGTTCTGCAGTGTTAATGCAGAGCTACATCGCGTTGCATGTTTTAGTGGGAGACTCAAATATCCTGTGACAAGCAGTACATCACAGGCGTTTTCTGCTTCCAGTCTGTGGTGCGGCAGACACACGTCTGCCAGAGGTTGCCGTGACCTCATCATGGACGCATTATGAAGATCAAGTGTCGATGCTGAGTAAATGCCACAGTGTAGCAGGGGAGTTTATAAAGATCAGCCTTTTCCATCAGCTGCCACAGAAATCTGTCTCCCAGACTAGGGTCAAAAGTTACATGCACGCAATTCTTTACTTTTTAACGTCTTCAGAGTGACGAATAGGTTCACTGTGCAAATATCAGGACCTTTAAAGAGCAGAGATATTTAAAAGTCTGCTTTTTCTGTGATTGCGATTACACTGACTGAATAAAATCAGCTTTATAGATGTGGTAAATCACATCCATCTGGCACTGCAAGCTCCCGCTGCTCATCATATCGTCCGCATGGTTTCCCACAAGCCATCTTGGTCTCTAACTTGACATAGTGGCATGACCTACCTCTTTCAGAATGTGGAAGGAGCCAGAGAGCTGTCAAGGTTCAGTGGACGCTGACACATTTCTTCACTTTGTTCTCTGCCTCCAACCCTGCTACTGGACTGTCATTTAGATCCTATTTCACTGTTCATTCTGACACCATGTTCTTGATTTCTGTTTGGGTGAAGAGGTCATTTTTCCAACCATTTGGCCAACACCTTTCCCAGGATGTGTTTTCAGTACATATACAGGGACTCTGAAATGTAGACAGGGCAAGCAGGGAATTGAACCATCAACTACGACAATTAACAACCAGAGCCACAGGTTTCGGTGAGCAGTCTGATTAATTTATCAATGGGACGTTGGATGAATAA